TGCTTGCGAAACTTGCTGAATCCTTCTGCACCGCACCTAGCCCTGGCTGTAGCAGCTTCCTTGGTGAAATCTTTGTCACCACGTACCTCATTTGCTTAACCGTGCTGCTCGCTTCATACAAGTATACCTGCCCCCACACCCCTGCCTTCCCCCTGCCTCTATCGAACCCCACCTTCCCCCTTTTCTCAAACCCATCCACCTGTTTTAAAGAACCTTTCATCCCACTCCCACAACACCCCCCCCCCGGTCCCCTACCTACCCACCTCTTTCCGCCACGCCCCTTCCAACTCTCCTCTTCCTCCCGCCCTGTCTGTGTCCCTGCCTGCCAACTCTCCACCTGGTCGCCCCCTTCTCGCGGCAGTGGGGCGGGGCAGGGGAGGCCGGGGGGCGGGGAGGGCGGCAACAAATGCATCGCCCATCAGCACGCCAGCGTCACTCTGCGGCAGTCTCTCCACGCCCAACGCGTCCCTCTGGACCGGTGCGTCGCTCCCCCACCCCTCCCCCCTGCCCTGCCCTGCCTCGCACCTCCTGTCTTGCTCCCCTCTCTTCCTCGCTCCTCTATGCCCGCCTCTGCGGCAGCCTCTCCATGCCCAGCGCCTCCTTCTGGACCAGTGCGTCGCTCTCCTCCTCCACTCGTCCCCCTGCCTGTGTTGCTCCCCCTCTTCTGCCTCTTCCTCTTGCCTGTCTACCTTGTGCCTCCTGTTCTCCCCCTACTCTCTCCCCTCCCCAACCCCCCGGCTACTCCTGTGTTGCTCGCTCTGCTCTGCCCCGTGCCTGGGTTCTTCTCTTCGTGATTCTCTCTGACATTTGGCCACGCAGTCCCTCCTCATCAGTCTTGCAATCCCATGCCTTGTGAACTGATGATCGTCTTCCCTACACACGCCAACTCAACCAGCACTCTCCCTCACTAACATTTCGAATGGGCTAAAAGCTTGAAGTTCTCTTTCCCCCCAAGCTTCCTCAACGTTCCTCATGCCGCCCTCCTCCTGCACATCTCAACTTCTCCTCTCCCACACTGCCCCATCCCTCAGGTTCGGTGGCAGGTTCGGCAGCAGCATCGGATGCAGCAGGGGGAGCATCACGGTCAGTGTCAGTGTCGGGGGACTTTGGCATGTGCAGCGGGCCGGCAGGGGAGGTGGAGCAGGGCGCCATGTCCACCACTCCCAGAAGCGGCACCTCCCATGTCACCCGCATGTCCCATGCCGCCCCCATGCCCCACATGCCTCATGTGCCCCACATGCATGGTCCTGGTGGTGCTATGGTTGTGAATACACCGCACACTAGCATGTCAACGCCCCATCACGCCATGCCGTCTGCCCACCACAGCTCATCAACGGCTCCACAGAGCACGGTGGTTTATCCGACGGCCAGCAGCGCGCCCACCACGCCGGCATCCATTGGTCATGCTGCCATGCCCGTGCCTGCTAGCCCAGGTTCGGCCGTGCCTGCCAGTCCAGGTCCGGCCGTAGCAGCAAGCCCAGGCTCGGTGGGGCGAGTGCAGCGAGGGCTGGGTGTGCAGGCGAGCCCAGGCTCGGCAACTTTCCGGCCCTTGTTCCAGACAGGCCGGGGGTATGCGGCGGAGAGAACCGATCCTGGAGGAGGTTCGGTAGCGGCAGGGGCGGCAGGAGTAGCAGGAGGCAGAGGTGAGGGGTCCGGTGTAATGGGCGAGGGGACAGGTCTTACGGGCTCAGCTCAGGCACCGGGATTCGGTGCACCGAAGGCGGTGAGCTCATCAGCGGTCGAATCTTTGACAGTGGGCGCAGCGGCAGGTGGTGGTGTGGCAGCAGGGACGGGGGGGGAAGCAGGGCAGGGGCATTCCCTAGCAATGGGCGGTCAGAGGCCAACTGAAGGGGTTCTGAGGAGTGAAGTGTATGGGCAGCAAGTGGGTGTGCAGACTACAGGGCAGTGTATGGTGCAGCAGCCCCTAGGTCAGCACAGTCAATTGGGGCAGCAGGGACAGATGGGTCAACAGGGTCAAGTGGGTCAACAGGGTCAAATGGGTCAACAGGGTCAGATGGGTCAACAGGGTCAGATGGGTCAACAGGGTCAGATGGGTCAAATGTCTCAGCATATCCTTCAAGAGCAGAGCCAACCATTCAATCAACCCGGTCAACCAAGTCAACGAGGCCAAGCGAGTCAAGGCTATGTGCCGCCAGGTCAGCAGCAGTGGAGCGCCGCACAGGGGGCAGGACTGCGGCAAGGAGGAGCAGAGACGGCGCAGGTGTGGCAGGCAGCAGTGCAGGGGCAGGGGGGCACTGCCGTGCAAGGGGCAGGGGGCGTGATGCAGATGCAGAATCCGATGAGCGTGGGTGCAGGGCCAGGTGGTGCGGTGGTTAGTCAGGCAGGGATGCTGCCCAACCAGGGCGGCATGGCAGAGAGTGAGGGGCGTGTGATGGCAGGGCAGGGGGGAGCAGCGCAGCAGGCGATGGGGAGGCAGCAGCAAAGCTGCGCGCCAGGTGGCTTTCTCCCTGCTGCCGTTGACATGCTGCCTGCAGCTCCCAGCTATGTAAGCTGCCATGCTATGAGCTGCCATGCTATGAGCTGCCATGCTATGAGCTGCCATGCTATGAGCTGCCATGCTATGAGCTGCCATGCTATGAGCTGCCATGCTATGAGCTGCCATGCTATGAGCTGCCATGCTATGAGCTGCCATGCTGTGAGCTGCCATGCTGTGAGCTGCCATGCTATGAGCTGCCATGCTGTGAGCTGCCATGCTGTGAGCTGCCATGCTATGAGCTGCCATGCTATGAGCTGCCATGCTATGAGCTGCCATGCTGTGAGCTGCCATGCTGTGAGCTGCCATGCTATGAGCTGCCATGCTATGAGCTGCCATGCTGTGAGCTGCCATGCTGTGAGCTGCCATGCTATGAGCTGCCATGCTATGAGCTGCCATGCTATGAGCTGCCATGCTATGAGCTGCCATGCTGTGAGCTGCCATGCTATGAGCTGCCATGCTATGAGCTGCCATGCTATGAGCTGCCATGCTATGAGCTGCCATGCTATGAGCTGCCATGCTATGAGCTGCCATGCTATGAGCTGCCATGCTATGAGCTGCCATGCTATGAGCTGCCATGCTATGAGCTGCCATGCTATGAGCTGCCATGCTGTGAGCTGCCATGCTGTGAGCTGCCATGCTATGAGCTGCCATGCTGTGAGCTGCCATGCTGTGAGCTGCCATGCTATGAGCTGCCATGCTATGAGCTGCCATGCTATGAGCTGCCATGCTGTGAGCTGCCATGCTGTGAGCTGCCATGCTATGAGCTGCCATGCTATGAGCTGCCATGCTGTGAGCTGCCATGCTGTGAGCTGCCATGCTATGAGCTGCCATGCTATGAGCTGCCATGCTATGAGCTGCCATGCTATGAGCTGCCATGCTGTGAGCTGGCCATGCTATGAGCTGCCATGCTATGAGCTGCCATGCTATGAGCTGCCATGCTATGAGCTGCCATGCTATGAGCTGCCATGCTATGAGCTGCCATGCTATGAGCTGCCATGCTGTGAGTGCTGTGAGCCCAGCCCAGCTGCTCTTTCTCCAGCTTCTTTGGCTCCTCTCCCACGTGCTGCTCTCTCCCACGTGCTGCTTTCTTAACGTGCTGCCCTCTGCCTCCTGCTACTCTTTCTCACCCTATTCTTTCACTCCCTTGCTTCGTCTCCCCTCATTTACCTCTTCGCTCCTCATCTTTTGTGCCTTGTCTTGCTAATCTGCCCTCTCCCCACCCCTCGCCCCATCCCACTCCTTGCTTTCGGACGTCCCCCTGCAGGGCGCTGGGTTCACAAGCAGCAGCGGAGCACACCTCCTTCCTTTGCCCGCCACACAGAGCCTTGCCGCCCAGCAGATCATGGCAGCCACGCAGCAGCAGCAGCAGCAGCAGCAGCAAAGTGACATGTCTTCTCAGCACAATCTGTTGCAACAGCATCAGCAGCAGCAGCAGCAGCAGCAGCAGCAGCAACAACAACAACAACAGCAACAGCAAGGTGTGTTTGGCAGCGAGCATATGCTGGAGGCGCAGCAGCAGAGGCAGCGGGTGCAGTGGCGGGCGGCAGCAGAGGCGGAGGTGGAGAGGAGCTCTGGGGTGCGCCGTGCCCTCCACTCCTCCTGCACTCCAGCAGCCCAGGACTCGCAGGGGCAGGGGCAGGGGCAGGCTGAGCGGGAAGCACAGGCGCAAGCACAGGGGCAGCAGGAGGTAATTCAGGTGAGATCTCAGGTGGTGAGCCCTCCGCCTGGTGTAGTGAGTTCCCCAGGCGGCATGGTGATGGGAGTGGGGGGTGCGTTCCTGGACGCTGTGAGCCCACCGTTTGGGTTTGTGAAGCGCGAGGAGCAGCAGCTGGAAGGATTCTCCCTGGGGCAGCAGCAACTAACGCAACAGCAAGCGCACCAGCAACAACAAATAGAGCAGCTGCAGCAGCAGCCACAGCAACAACAACAATTTGCAGTACAGGATTTCAAGCAGCCGTCCATGTATGCACCTAATGCTCCAAGCAAGGAAGAGAGGTGCGGCATGAACAGCAATCAGCGCTCAGACACTGTCGTCTGCTTTGACTTACAGACCGGCACAGACAGCAACAACAAGAGGTCGGGAAACGGCTGTGCCCCCCCTACAGTAGCAGCACCGGTATCACCGCCACAGGCACCACAGGCATCGTCGGAAGCAGCAACGAGCCTTCTTCCCTCCCACGCGAGCAGGTTGCAATCTCAGATGCAGCAGCAGCAGCAGCAGGAGATGCAATCTGCTTTGCAGGGGACGGAGAGGGTGACTACAACGAAGCCTTTAACTGTGACTATGGTGAGATCGGGCTGGAGGATTTGTCACGTGGGGGGGGCGAGCTTGACAGCGGCGGCCTGGACTGGTTCGACCAGTTCTGAGAACCAAGGGACGAGCGCTGGGCTGCCGGCTGCAGCCACGCTGCATGCATGCCCGTTGAATGTGATGGCAGGTGGTGCCTCCAAGGATGTGCCGCTTCTTGATCAGTCTCAAAGATCGCTCACAAACACTGCAGCCATGCTGTCCTCATGCCCATTGGATGTGGCAGGAGGCGCTGCTGTAGACGACAAGCAGCTTGGGCTTCTGGGAGTGAGGCCAGTGAATGGAAGCCAGCAGTCCAACCGTTGCAGCATGCCACGTGGCAGTATGCTACGTGGCAGCATGCCACTGGATGAAGCATGGGCGGCTGCCTCTATTGGATCAGTTAGAGAAGGAGCAGCATCAGCATCAGTGCCTGCAGCAGTGGCAGCAGTAGCAGCAGCAGCACCAGCGATAGCAGCAGCACCAGCAATAGCCGTAGCAGCAGCAGGGTGTGTGCTGGGACAGCAATTCTCAGGTCGTCGGGTACCCTCCTCCACAGCCAGAGCGCTTTTCACAGACTTGCCTTCCTCCCCGCGTGCCACCTGCAGTCCCCCCTCACCACCCCCTGCCACATGCCTTGCCCGTCCCAATCGGGCCACCGTTGCTGCCAGTGGTGCTCTTGGTACCGCCACTGCTACCGTTGCTGTTGCCAGTGTTGCGTCTGTCGACATTGCAACTGCCAGCATTGCAAGCGCCATGGGAGCTGCTTCTGGAGCTGGTGCCGGGCCTTGGGTGCACGCCAGTGCCCGAGATGCTGCTTGTGCTGCTGCTGGCAGGCATGCCGTGACAGGAGCAAGTGTCGTGGAGAATGGTGGGGATGCTGATACGTACGCCAATGCAGTCGATGGTGATGCTCCTCCTGACGCTGCTCTTCATACGGCTCCAGATGTGCATGCATCAGTGCATGCTGCGAGTCTCAAGACACACTCTCCGTCTGACCCTCTGGTGAGTGTGATAGCAGATGAGGCGGGGGCAGGTGTAATGGAAGAGAGGGACGAGAGGGGAGAAAAAGAAGTGGCAGGGGCAGCTGCAATGGGAAAGGGGAAAGAGGGGGGAGAAGAGGAAGTGGGAGGGGAAAGGGAAGACGGAGGAGAAGCGGAAGTGGGAGGGGAAGGGGAAGAGGGGGGGAAACGGGGCAGGCAGGAGAAACAGGGGGCGCAGGAAGGGGGATCTGATGCGGGCGAGGGGGATGGGGGAAGGGGAGAGGAGAGACGCGGAGGTAATGATAATGGGGGGAGCGGTGAGGAGGGCGAGGGGGGCGGTGAGTGGGGCGGAGGAGGTGGAGGGGGGGGAAACGAGGATGGGGAGAAGGGAGGAGATAACTGGGGAGATGGTGATAGGGGAGATGAGGGAGAGGATGATGAGGGAGAGGATGATGAGGGAGAGGAGAAAGACGAAGAAGGGGAGGAGGAAGCAGAAGGGGAAGAGGAAGGGGAAGAGGAAGAAGAAGAAGCAGGAAGAGAGGAGGAGGGTGGGTCCGATCGTGCAGCAGTGGTGGGGCCTGGGGCAGAGAGGAGCGGGACAGCAGCAGCAGGGGAGTGCAGTGGGGGAGGGGAGGCCAACGTGAGGCGGCTGGAAGCTGCCTCTATCAGCCATGCGGGTGGTGTGAGCTCAACCCTCACTTCCAACACACAGGCTGTGCCTGTGTCATCACGGGGACCGGTGCCATCACAGGGGGCGGTGCCATCACAGGGGGCGGTGCCATCACAGGGGGCGGTGCCATCACAGGGGGCGGTGCCATCACAGGGGGCGGTGCCATCACAGGGGGCGGTGCCATCACAGGGGGCGGTGCCATCACAGGGGGCGATGATGCTGGTATCAGGGGCGAGCGCATGGCAGCGCAGCAAGGCAGGGGAGGTCAAGGACAGCACCACCACTGCCTCCTCCTCCCCCAAAGTGAGTCATCCCACCAATGTGTGCTGCTTGCAAATTGCTGCACCCCCTGCCCTCGTTCCCCCACCCCCTTGGTTAGGTTCGTTGGCCATCAATCGCAACTGGTTCTCCAGTCATCCCTGGGTTCGTCATGCCAATATTACCCGCTCTGTTACTGTGCCAAAATTTGCCCTGTGAATCAACCCTGAAGTGAATTCGTGTACTTTCTCAACCCAACCAACCCCTGCCTGCACCACCGCCATCTGCCCAGATGACGGCTCTGGACCTTCTGAGGAGGAAGAGCCCTGCGCCCCCATCCATCTTCCGCCCACCCGAGGCAGCTCCACTGCCCGCACCCCCACCACCTGCACCCGCACCAGCTTCAACTGCACCCGTTGCACATGCGGCACTGGCAGCAGCAGCAGCAGCAGCAGCACCAGCAGCAGCAGCAGCAGCACCAGCAGCAGCAGCAGCGGCTCTTTCAGCAACCCCTCTGTTGTCAGCCACACTCGCATCGGCACCACCAGCTGCACCCGCAGTGCCAGCTGCACCCGCTGCAGTTGCAGTGCAGTCCGCACCAGCAGCAGTGTCTCCAGCAGTGCGCGGTGCAGGTGCAGCAGGAGTGGATGGGGGAGAGGATGTGCCGTCAGCAGGCGCGGATGGGGAGGCGTTGGTGGGAGAGGGGCGCGAGGGGGAGAGAATGCAAGGGGAACCCGAGCAGAGGAATGAGGGGAAGGAGGAGGGAAACGGAAAAGAGGAGGTAAATGAAGAGGAAGGGGAAAACGGCGAGTGGGGAGAAGAGGATGAGGAGGGTTTGCCAGGGACGACAAGTGGGCATGAGTTTTGGGCTAGAAGCATGCCTGTTAGCACTGGTGGTGGAGGTGGAGGTGGTGGTGGGGATGGTGATGGTGATGGGGATGGTGATGGTGATGGTGATGGGGATGGTGTTGGGGATGGGGATGGGGATGGGGATTGTGGTGGTGGTGATGATGGTGACGGGGATTTGGATGGGAATGGGGATGGTGACAGGGATAATGGAGTGGAATCATTAGGCAGAGGTGAGTTGCGGCAGGGTGTTGGGGGGAGGGCATTGGAGCACAGCGAAACTTCTCCCACTGACACAGCTGTGGGCAGTGATTCAAGGGAGATGGGCGTGGGTGTGCTGGTACCCCAGGCGCAACAAGGTGCTCGTGGTGCTGCCGGTGGGGTCACTAAGGCTCACAGACGCACTGCTGCTGCTGGCGCCACTGATTCTGACACGCATGAAGGGGAACCGGTGCTCGGAAAGAGGGGTTTGGGAAGAGAGGGTTTGCGAGGTGGAGAGCCTAGCGCGCCTTTGGAGGCGCTTCCATTGGCGAGAGACAAGGAGGGGGGCGAGCAGTGGCAGCAGGAGGCGGAGCAGGAGCAGGGAAGAGTGAGTGCGCTTGCCGTCCCACATAGAAATGGCGTCTCAGATTCTGTTGGCAGGGGCGCCGGCCTTGCTGCCAGGCGTGGTGGTGAGAGTGGCAGCACAGATGCTCGTGCTGCGATGCTCGTGGGGGCTGCGCCCGCAGGGCAGGACAGGCCAGCAGGGCAGGACAGGCCAGCAGGGCAGGACAGGCCAGCAGGGCAGGACAGGCCAGCAGGGCAGGACAGGCCAGCAGGGCAGGACAGGCCAGCTCGTGGGGTGTTGGGCGAGGAAGGGGTGAGGGTGAGCAGGGAGGGTGGTGAGGGCAGTGAGGGTGGCAAGGGTGGGCAGGATGTGCAGGGGAAGGGGGGCGAGACGGGAGGGGCGAGTGAGCAGGGCAGCGCGGGTGCGAGGGAAGAGGGGGCGGAACAAGAGGTGGGAGCCAAAGCGGAGGGCAACAAGTGTGTTGAGGAGTGGGGGGTAAAGGTGAAGGGAGAGGTTGAGGAGGGGGCGGATGAGGGGGTTGGAGGGGATACGGTGGTGTTTGTAGGGGTAGGAGGAGGGGGAGGGGATGTAGGGGCAGGGGCAGGGGCAGGGGAAGGGGAAGCAGAGGAGGAGGTGGGGCGGGGAAGGAGGGGGAGGAGGAGAGGAGGCGAGGTGGGGGTGGGAGGGCGAGGAGGAGGGAGGCAGAGGGGACTCGTTGTGCCGAGGGCAGGTGGGCGCCACATGGTGCGTTGAGTTGAATGCATGGGCTGTGTGGGGAGGTTGGAGAGAGGGGACGGGGAAATGTGTGTTAGAAGAGAGAGAATTGATGCACTGAATAATGAGCCAAAAGGCTCTTTAGTACAAGCAATGAGCAAGGGAAAGATGAGAAGGAAGCTTACCCTATTGGCCAATAAGTTGGCCAATGGGTGAGCTTGCTTATGGCCCAAGCAACCACAAAATATGTGTTGGTTGGGATTGGTTGAGGTAAGGACCAATCCCCACCAACCACAAAATATGGTTGGAGGGTACACTAACCAACCCCCCAATTTATAAGAGTGCTACACATCTAAGTCTAGCCTATGCATGTTGTATAAAATATGGAATTACAACACAACCCCCCAACATGCATAAGGCTAGAAGGCTACAATCAAGAAGCGGGGACCAACTTCGGAGGAGTAAGGCCAAGGAGACGAATTAGTGAAGAGTGAGCCGCATGAGGAAGAGCTTTTGTGAAGATGTCGGCAAGGTTGGCCGCGGAGTCAACCTTGTCGAGCCGCAGGCGCCCAGCCTGAACAAGACCGCGAATGAAGAAATGACGGAGCTCAATGTGCTTGGAGCGCCCGTGAAACACAGCATCCTTCGTGAGGTGAATGGTGCTGGCGTTGTCACACCAAATGGTGGGGCAGCGCTGGGGGGCACCTAGCTCCTCAAGAAGGAAGGAGAGCCAGCGAGCCTCTTGTGCAGCCATGGTGGCGGCATACAACTCGGCTTCGCAGGACGAGAGGGCGATAGCCGAGGAGCGCGTGGAACGCCAGCTGATGAGGCCGCTGCCAAGAGAGAAGCCATAGCCCTGGGAGGAGCGACGGTCTGGTCGGGAGTCAGCCCAGGAGGAGTCACTGTAGCCGCTGAGGAGAGGTGGGGAAGGGCCGCCAAGGGTAAGGACATAGTCCTTGGTGCCACGAAGGTACCGGAGGACGCGCTTGGCAGCCTGCCAGTGCTCAGCCGTATGCTTGCCAGCGCCAACAAACCGAGCGAGGACGCTAATGGGGTAGGCAAGGTCAGGGCGAGTGGAAACCATGGTGTACATGAGGGAGCCGATGAGCTCGGGATAAGGATGAGAGGAGGCGGAGGGGGAGGTGGGTGGAGAGAGGTGGTGCCCGACAGAAAGAGGTGTATGTTGGGCGCCGCCGCGGGCCATGTCAAACCGCTCCAAGACCTGCTGCTAGTAATGACCCTGGGAGAGTGAGATGGTGCGGGCGGAGCGGTCACGGGTGATGGTCATGCCCAGATAATGCTGCAGCTCTCCCAAGTCTTTGCACTTGAGACGGGTGCCCAACTCAGCCTTAACATGCTCCAACTCTCCAAGGTCGGCAGTGAGCAGAATCATGTCATCGACATACACAAGGATGTAAAATGGGGAGGGGGAGGTGCGGAGGAAGAGGCTGGCGTCAGAGCGGGAGGTGTGGAACCCAAGTTCAGCAAGGGTGGCGGCAAGTTTAGCATGCCACTCCCTCGGGGCCTGTCGGAGCCCATACACCGGTCGACGCAGCTGCCAGACAGAGTCAGCTGGGAAGGGGAGGTGAAAGCCGGTTGGACGCTCCATGTAGATAAGCTCGCGGAGGACGCCTTGTAGGAAGGCGTTAGAAACGTCCATCGAGTGGATCTCCATATTGAGGCGAGCGGCGAGGTCGAGCACGGCACGAACAGTAGCAGGCTTGGCAGTAGGGGAGAAGGTATCGAAGAAGTCAAAACCATACCGCTGCGTGAACCCCTTGCCGCAGTAACGAGCCTTATAGACGGGCGGCTCCCCTGGCAGCTGCTTGACGCGAAACACCCACTTTCCTTTCACCACATTCGTAGGGGCGGGAGGGCGAGGCACATCGACAAAAGAGGAGTTGCCGATAAAGGCCTCCAGCTCCTTGATGATGGCGGCGAGCCATAGCGGAGCGTCAGGGCACGCCATTGCCTCCTCGTACGTGGTAGGAACGAAAATGGAGGGAGCAGAGGAGAAGGCGAAGACAGGTGTGCCGGAGAGGTCGAACGTGATGGGTAGAAGCGAGGGGTCATAAAGGTGGAGGTCAAGGAACTCTTCATGGGAGTCCTCAGAGAGGGAGGTGTGGAAGGCACGGATGACTGCTGGTGCCGCTGCTGGTGCTGCTGGTGGAGGCGTTGCCGGTGCCGCTGTTGGTACTGCTGCTGGTGCCGCTGCTGGTGCCGCTGCTGGTGCCGCTGCTGGTGCCGCTGTTGGTGCCGCTGCTGGTGCCGCTGCTGGTACTGTTGCTGGTGCTGTTGCTGGTGCCGCTGTTGGTGCCGCTGCTGGTCCCACTGCTGCTACCGATGCCGCTCCCGCTGCTGCTGCCGCTGCTGGTCCTGCTGGTGCTGCGGCTGCTGGCGCTGCTGCTGCTGCCGCTTCCGGTCCCGTCGCTGCTGGAGCTGCTACTGGTGCCGCTGCTGGAGAGGAGGTAGCTGAGGGGGCTGTTGCATGAGGGGCTTGATGCAAGACAGCTTGGAAGAAGTGACGAAGGAGGGGGGAGAGAGGGGGGAGTGTAGAGGTAGAGAGGGTAACGGGAGGCGGTGCACCAAGGATACCGTCACGTGACCTGGTGTGGGGATACCGGGTGAGTATGGTGCGGGAAGGGGGAGGACGGATTCGTGGCGAGGGAGAGGAAGGGGGGGGGGGGGAGGGGTACTAGGAGAGGAGTGAGCGGGGGAGACAGGAGAAGACAGAGGTTCCGGGTCAAAGATGTCACCAGAAGAGGGAGGGGCACCATGGGACTGGGACGGCGGAGAAGGGGGGGGTGGGAGAATGGGGGGAGGAGGGAGTAGTGGGGGAGGGGTGGTGTCAGACCAGACTAGGGGACGGGTGAGAGGGGGGAGTGGGTCAGTAGATGTGGGAGAGGAGTAGTAGGGAGTGGACTCGTCAAAGACCACATCCTTACTGCGGATAAGACGACCGGATGGGGGGTGGAGGAAAAGGTAGTCGGGGGAGGAGGGATTATGACCAAGGAAGATGCAAGGAAGGGTGCGAGGGGCAAGCTTTCCCATGGAACGGGAGCGGTCAGAGGGGTGAATGAGGACATGTGCCTTAGAGCCCCAGACACGAAGTGATGAGGCATCAGGCTTGTCCTTCGTCCACAGCTCAGTGGGGGTGATGGAGGGGAGAAGGGGGTGAGGGTAAAGGTTAGTAAGGAGGGCGGCATGAAGGAGGGCGTAGCCCCAAAGAGAAGGGGGGCAGGAGGCGTGGACAAGCAAGCACCGGGCTGTTTTGGTGATCTCTCGAACACGACTCTCAGCCACGCCGTTCTGCTGTGGGGAGTGAGGGAGGGTGTAAGTCTGAAGGATGCCACGAAACTGACAATAGGAGGAGACTTGGTTGTTGAGGAACTCACCACCTCCATCAGAGTGAAGGCGGCGAACAGGGCGCCCAAAATGGGTGTTTGCCCACTCGAGCCAGGCGATGATCGCAGCCGGGGCATCCGCCTTCGTCCGAAGGAGAGAGACAGACGAGTACCGACTGTGATCATCAACAAGCACGAGAAGGTAGCGATGGCCCTGGCGAGTGGGAGAGGGATTAGGGCCCCATAGGTCCATGTGAACAAGATCAAGTGGCTGCGCAGCAGCGGAGGGGGAGCTCCGGTGCGACTGCTGCTTGAGCTTGCTCTGAACGCAGACGGTGCAGGGGGGGGCAGGGGATTTGGGGAGGGGAGGGAGGGAGGAGGGGAGACCGTGAAGGAGACCGGAGGAGACAGAGGAGCGCAGAGTAGCGAAGTTGGGTTGGCCTAGCGTGTGATGGAGGAGGATGGTGGGGTGGGAGAGGGAGCGACAGGAACAGTCAGAGTCAGGAGGGCGGGGGGGGAGGGGTGGGTTAGTGGGAGGGAGGGGAGGGGAGGGGGGGGGGGGGGGGAAGGAGGGGGGGGGAGGCAACTTGGAAGGTGAGGGGGCGGGGAACCCGAAGGGTGTACAGACGGGAGCGAGGACAATAGGGAATACGGGCGAGAAAACGACCTGTGGAGGTTTGGTATAGGTCACAATGGTTAGCACCACCTGGGATGAGAGTGGTGATCATGGCTTGTTGGAGGGACCTTTGGGAGAGGTGGTTAGTACGAAGGGAGGGAATGTGGAGACCGGTGACAGTACCTGAGGGAAAGAGAGGACAGGGAAGGCTGGAGGTGTTGTGACAAGAGATGGAAAAACCGCTATCAGCGCCGAGGAGGGAGGTTGGTGTGGGGAGAGGGCGCAGTGTACCAGCGTCGCGAGGGACAGTGTCAGTGGCTCCACTGTCCAGAACGAAGTCAATTGTGGAGGAAGGTGAGGCAAAGTATTGGAACGAAGTTTCATTAGCAGAAGAAGGGTACATGGGAGATGCAACAGATTCAGGTTGACCTAATAAACCAACAAAGCCAGAGGAAGGGAAAGCGGTCACACTGCCACCTGCAGACGGCGCCGGGGATGCACCCGAGAGATGGGCTGCAGAGGCAGCACTCCCAGCAGTCCAGGTAGGAAAGGGCTGCTGCTGGGAAACCGGAGGAGGGAGGAGGGGCAGTTGCGGCTGGAGGGCGAGCTGCTGCTGGAGATGCTGGAGCTGCTGCTGGAGCTGAGAGAGGAGAAGCTGCTGCCCATACTGCTGTGACCCCTGCTGCTGTGACCCCTGTTGCTGATTCCCAAGCTGCTGTTGCTGTTGCTGCTGCTGGTGCTGCTGCTGGTGCTGCTGCTGGGGAGGGGTGAGGGCCTGGTGGGCATGGGTGGAGGAGGGAGGTTCATAGAGGGGAGAGGAACGGACCTCAAGGGGAGTGGGGCGAGGGTTGAGGGCGGACCAGCGAGGAGGGGTGCCGGTGTTGCCACGGGCAAACCACTCATCACTGAGTGCCTTGAAGCACGTCTCAGTGGCATGGGTGGTTCGGCCGCAACGCTGTCCCTGAGTGGGACCATAGCGAGGCAGGTACTGACAGGGAGGAAAGGCAGCTGCCGTACCACGACCCGCACCACTGCTGCCAGCACCACCGCGACCTGCTGATCCCCCTCGTCCACCCCCACGCCCACCACCACGCCCACCCCCACGCCCACCGCCACGGCCACCCCGGCTGCTGCGCGACTGGGCTGCTGCGGCTGTGGAGGAAGAGTGGCGAAGGATCTCAGCTTCGGTGGTGATAATCCACTGAGCGACTTCGGCAGGGGTGTGGTGCTTGGAGATAAGCTGCATATAAGCAAGCTTGTGAGCGTCGAAGGCAGGTGTGAGGCCCTCGAGGAGGTGGCAGCAGATGACGATGTCCGGGTACACCACATCGAGTGCTGCAAGGCGCCGAGCAAGGTCTAAGACACGGCGAGTGAAAGCAGCTGCGCCAGAAGTGGAATCCATGGAGAGAGTTCCAAACTCCTTGATAAGGGCGTAAAGAGTGGCAACGTCCTACCGATCGAAAAGGTCGACCAGCAGTCGCCACAGGTGGGAGGAGGAGGTAGGTGAGAGCTCGCGTTTGAGGGAGGAGGAGATGGTGGCGAGAAGAATGTCAAGCGCGCGTCGATCAGCAACCCGCCGGGCAGTAATTTTCGTGGTGTAGTCTGCAAGTTCTGCAGTGTAGGTGTCCAGGTCCTCCTGGTATTTGTTGTAGCGGGCAGCGGCGTCGTCATAGATACGCCTGTCGTCTTCGTAACGCAATTGCAAGCGCATGTGCTCTTGGAGATTGGTGCGGTAGGTGCGAATGGCGGTTTCCGAGCTCTGCGGGTCGTTGACATTCGGCGCAAAGGTGGGAGGATCACCGGGGGGAGAGGGCTCGGCGCCAGGGTGGGCGGGGGCAGGTCCAGTAGGAGCGGTGGGGGCCACGGGCTGAAGTCCACCGCCTTCCTGAAAGACAACCGAGCGAAGGTTGTAGCCGCTGACCACAACAGAGGAGAGGAGCACCTCAACGGAATGAGCATAAGAGTGCCAATTAGCAGCAGAGTTGTCAGGCAGCAACTCGAGTGCGTCAACAGTGGCAAGGTCGACGGAAGAATCGGACGACGATGCCATAGAGATGAGGGTGGGTAGAGGCTAGGGCAGGAGGAGGATGGTGCGAGGGTACCGTTGCCAGTGCTGCTGCTGGCCTTGCTGCCCGTGCCGCTGCTGGTTCTGCAGCTGGTGCCGCTGCGGATGCTGCTGCGGGTAGGATGGGAGGAGGAGGAAGGGAGGAGCGGAGGGTGGGGAAGGTGGAGGAGGAGGAGGGCGATGCTATGGGGGATGCAAGGGGGAAGGGTGCAGCTGGTGGTGCCGCTGCAGGTGCTGCTGCTGGTGCTGCTGCAGGTAGGATGGGAGGAGGAGGACGGTGGAGGAGGAGGGCGATGCTATGGGGGAGGCAAGGGGGAAGGGTGCTGCTGGTTGTGCCGCTGCTGGTGCTGCTGCTGGTAGGATGGGAGGAGGAAGGGAGGAGCGGAGGGTGGGTTGGGTGGAGGAGGAGGGCGATGCTATGGGGGAGGAAAGGGGGGAGGATGCTGCTGGTGGTGCCGTTGAGATGCCGCTGATGATGCTGCTGTGGGTACAATGGGAGGAGGAAGGGAGAGAGGGGGGGGGGGGTGGGACGAAGAGGGCAGCCGTGCGACAGATCCGCGCGACTGGGAAGCCGGTGGCGAATGCACGCGGGACAGCCCGCGGCAAACGAGCGGGACGTGCAGAGATGGGCGCGAAATGGTCAGATTTCAGCGCGGGAGATGCAGATCTGGTCGCGCGGAGTGCAGATCTGGTCGCGCGGAGGGCAGATCTGGTCGCGCGGAGGGCAGATCTGGTCGCGCGGAGGGCAGATCTGGTCGCGCGGAGGGCAGATCTGGTCGCGCGGAGGGCAGATCTGAGCGCGCGGAGGGCGGATCTGGGCGGGAGGAGTGCAGATCTGGGTGCGAAATGTTCAGATCTGGGCGCGGGAGGAGGAGATCTGGTGGCGCGGAATGATCAGATGTAGGCGCGGGAGGAGTAGATCTGGTCGCAGGGAGTGCAGATCTGGGCGCTGGAGTAGCAGATCTGAGCGCGGGGAGTGCAGATCTGGGCGCTGGAGTTGCAGATCTGAGCACGGGGAGTGCAGATCTGGGCGCTGGAGTAGCAGATCTGAGCGCGGGGAGTGCAGATCTGGGCGCTGGAGTTGCAGATCTGGACGTGCCTTGGAGGGCAGTGCCTTAGGGGGCGCACGGGGAGGGAGGACGGCGCCTAAAGGGCGCGTGAAGGGAGGGCAGCTCCGTGTGTGGGGCTAGATCTGAGGAACGGGGAGGAGAGGGTGGCCTAAGGACCGAGGGAGGAAGGCGTGAGCCATTAGCTCATGATACCATGTTAGAAGAGAGAGAATTGATGCACTGAATAATGAGCCAAAAGGCTCTTTAGTACAAGCAATGAGCAAGGGAAAGATGAGAAGGAAGCTTACCCTATTGGCCAATAAGTTGGCCAATGGGTGAGCTTGCTTATGGCCCAAGCAACCACAATATATGTGTTGGTTGGGATTGGTTGAGGTAAGGACCAATCCCCACCAACCACAAAATGTGGTTGGAGGGTACACTAATCAACCCCCCAATTTATAAGAGTGCTACACATCTAAGTCTAGCCTATGCATGTTGTATAAAATATGGAATTACAACAATGTGGGGATATATATGTGTGTGCGTTTGGGCGTGGGCGTGTGTGGAAGGGTGTGTTTGTGTGCTTCACTTGTTCCTCGCACCGCATCTTGCTAACACCCACCCGTTTGCTGCTTCCGTCTCTGTCCCCTCCTATTCAGGAGCAGCAGCAGGAGCAGCAGCAGCAGCAAGAGGAGGAGGGTGAGCGGGTGCACGGTGCAGCAGTGGTTAGCAGTGCCGCGCCCGCAGCTGCACCCAGCAGTGTGCCTTTTGCAGCAGAAGCCATGACAGGTCATAGGCTGAGGTCAGCTGGTAGCACCGGAGGGAATGGGGGGCGAAGGAGGGCGTGGGGTGGGGAGGTGGAGGAGGTGCGGGCAGATAAGATGTGCATGGATAAGGGAGGGCTGCTGGGAGGGGAGGGAGGTGGTGTGGGGAGCGAGGAGAGGGGTGTGGGAAGGAGGAGGGGGAGGCGGAGGAAGAGCGAGAGGATGAAGGATGAAGAATATCTCTGGGGCACGGTTCATGGTTCAGACGGAGGGGAAGAAGAGGAGGAGGAAGAGGAAGAGGAAGAGGAAGAGGAGTATGAAGAGGATGAAGCAGAGGAGGAAGAGGAGGAGTATGAGGAAATGGAGGAAGCAGATGAGGAGGAAGAGTTGCTGACTTGGAAAGATGCTCAGGGTAACGGAAGAGTTGGTAACGGCACGTATGTGAGTCAAGGGCAGTACGGCGAAGCAGAGGAGATGGCACGCTGTTTGATGGCAGGTGCTGAGAAGGGCGAGGGTGAGGTGGACGATGGCAGGGAGGGAGACGTGCAGCACAACCCTGGGCAGCGGAGGAGAGGTTATGGCGGCCAGGAGCTGGGGCATGAGGGTGGAGGGAGAGGCGGCCTTGGTGCTGCAGGTGTGGCTCTGGAGAGTGGTGGAGGGCGAGGGGTAGGAGGAGGAGGAGAGAGGGAACGAGAGAGGGATGTGGTTCGGCAGGTTCGGCGTGACATGGTTCGGTTGGAGGCTCGGATACCGTGGCTCGGGGTCAGGTCTGGGTGGAGGAACCGAAGGTCGGCGTGGCGGAGGGCGGTTAGAGACAGCTGTAGCGCTCTGGTTGGTCCTTCCTTCTCTCCCATTTCTATTGTTCCTTCTTCCTTTGTCCATGTCTTTCTCTTCTCTTGTGCCTTTGCCTGGGTCCATTCGTTTGCCTGGTCATGACTCTTTCTTTTTACTTGTTAAACACAAGCCATGCCAACCTCTCCCTTTAGCCCTGTTTCGGTATGCGTTTTGAGCTGTTTTGGTCTGCCATACACGAGCATTCTCGTAGTATCCCTTCCATTCTCCTAGTGTGTTGCGTCGGATTACAAATGCCTGCATTGCCACGAGGAACGCCGTTCTGTTGAGAGCTTCCTGCTCCCATCGCGCGCTCCTCTGTTGACCGTTGTTGAGGCGCCCCTCAGCACGTTTGTGAACCTCCACCTCACCTCACCTCACCTCACGTCACCTCGCCTCACCTCAACTCACCTCACCTCACCTCACCTCACCTCACCTCACCTCACCTCACCTCACCTCGCTGCAATCCTTCGTCCCAACCCCCAAACCGCACTGGGCAGGAGTTGGTGCATCGTGTGGACGAGTTTCGAGCGCACCTGCTGCTGCACCACGCTGCTCTCCTCTCCGACCACCACTGGGCCCTCCGTGTTGCTGCCGCTGCTGCTGCCTCTTCTGCTCCCACTACTGCTGCCCCTGCTCCTGCTCCTGCTGCTCCTGCTGCCCCTGCTCCTGCTGCCCCTGCTGCTGCTCCTGCTGCCCCTGCCCTTGCCACTGCCTCTTCTGCTCCAATTGCTGCTGCCCCTGCTCCTGCTGCCCCTGCTGCTGCTCCTGCTGCCCCTGCCCTTGCCACTGCCTCTTCTGCTCCAATTGCTGCTGCCCCTGCTGCTGCCCCTTCCCCTACCCCTGCCCCTGCAGCTGCTGCCGCCACTGCTGCTGTTGCTGCTGCTGCTGTTTCTGCTGCGCCTGCTCCTGGTGGGAATGACAATCGTGATGCCAGCTTTGGTGCCACCTCTGCTGCTGCTGAGGTCACCAACTCTGCTGGTGCTGACATGGCAGGATGGCATGCTGCCACCTGTCACGGCATGCTGTTGGAGCTCTGGACACGTCTGCATGATGACGTCAGCAAATGGCTTGAGGCTCGGCCCAAAGAGGCTGTTGGGAATGTGTGAGTTGCCGACATGGTGGCATGGTGGCATGGCCGTATGATGGCAGGGTGGCATGGCGGTATGATGGCATGATGGCATGGCGGTATGCTAAGTTGGAATATACGCTTAACACCTTAAGCGTACAGCGTATGTACGCTAGCGTACATACGCTATCCGCTATACGCTAGCAAATACGCTATACGCTCTTAGATTTTTTTTAGGGCTGCCCGAAAAAAGAATCGCAAAAAAGATGCGGATTTCCTAGGTGAGCATTTCGCCGTAGTCGAAATTCAAGTCCGCAGTCTAGGCAAACGGGGATCTGACTTCGAAGTCGTCAGGCAAATGTTGGATTTCAGATCCCATCTAGGCATTGAAATCCATCCCTTCTACCGCATTGAACCCCACTCTATCTACAAACTCCAACCTGTCAAAATTTCCCAAACAACAAATCTCACAGTACTTACCAGCCAGCCCTGTTGGCTAACCCTAACTCGTCATTTCGTTCCCGCTTTCACCAGAGTTCACGCTTCTTCGCTTTCTTGCTATTATGGTTACTCCACCTTCAATTGCACTCGTCATTCGGATTCAGGATTATGCAAGGGCAAGCCTTAGTGAGAATAGGGAGTACTTTTATTTCACCCTGCCCGGAACGTTTTTTCTCTGCCCGAAAAAGCGTTTCTCCAAAGCGAACCCCTAAGCGGATAGCGTGTATACGCTAGCGTATATACGATACGCGAATATACGCTGTACGCGTATATTCCAACTTAGGCGGTATGATGGCATGCTGGCATGGTGTGAGCACAGGTGTGAGCACAGGTGTCAGCATAGTTGTGTGCACACTTTTGAATGTATTTCATCCTCCGATGCCCTGTTGCTGTAGACCTTTCTCACACCTTCCGCTTCTCCCTTCTTCCACCTCTCGCTCCCCGTCCCCACGGCGTCCCCCTCAGTGTGTCAGCAGTGGCAACACTGGCACGCCACACAGCAGCCTCCCCAGCACACGCCACCCTGCCATCGCCATCACCCTCCCCCTCCTCCCGCGCCCTGCCTCCCACCGGCCCCCCTGTGGAGGCACTCTTCCCCTGGGTGGCGCACTTGAAGCCGCTGCTGCCTGCGCCCGCCCTCACTGCTGCAGTGGCCGTGGCAGCATCAGAGGCAGCAGCTGCTGTGAAGGGAGGCGGGAGAAAGTTACAGGTTTGTGCTTCTCCCCCTACCCTTGCCCGCTCAAGCATCTCACTCTCTCCCAGCTCTTGGCTAGTCAGCATTGGCCTTGTCGTGCCGATGCCATCTCCTCATCTTCCCCAGTTTTCAACGCGCCCCATAACTCTCGGTGTCGTGCCGTGTCATCTCCATATTTTCCCCTTCCTGCCCTGGTTTTCCTGTTCCCTTTCTCTCGTTCTCTCTCTCTCTCTCTCTCTCTCTCTCTCTCTCTCTCTCTCTCTCTCTCTCTCTCTCTCTCTCTCTCTCTCTCTCTCTCTCGCTCTCTCTCTCTCTCCTCTCTCTCTCCTGTGTCTGCGCCGGTAGGTCTTGCAGGGTGTGACGCTGCGCCTCATTCTTTCTCACAGCCCTGCTGAGCTGGCAACGATTCGTGCAGCACTGGAAAGGGAGCGACGCCACGTCAGCGCTCTGCTTGCTGACATGGACCAGCCGGCCAATCCGACTTCTGCTGCTAGCAATGCAGCTGCCAGTGCTGCTGCCGGTGCTGCTGCTGGTGCTGCTGCTGGTGCTGCCACTGCGCCAACTCTTGCTGCTGCTGCCAGTACTGCCGCTCCCCCCGCCTGTACTCTTCCAGCTGATTCAGCTCCTCCTGCTGCCACTATCACCCCTCACCCTGCATTGACCACACAGCTTCCGGTTCGCCCACCAGCCCCTCCCACCCCTCCCCACCCGAGACACCCAGGTATGGTTAGGGGAGGCAGGCGGACAGGGGTCAGGGCTGTTGCTGCTGCTGCTGATGCTGCTGGTGATGGTGCTGCTGCTGTTGGCAGCGCTACCACTGCCGGTGCTGCTGCTGGTGCCGCTGCTGGTGGTGCTGCAGGTACTGGTGGAGTTGATGGAGGTGAGGGCGTAGCAGGTGTCTTTTCAGATACAGGAGGTGGCGAGACACAGGTTGCAGCAGCAATTACTCCAGCGGCAGCAGTGGCAGCAGCCACACCGACAAAAGCAGCACGACCAGCAACAGCAGCAGGTGGAAATGGTGAGCGAGTGAGAAAGAGGTCACACGCATCTTGGATCGCAGAGGAGCTCGGGGATGCACCGGTGCAGCAGCAGCAGCAGCAGCAGCAGGTGGGGGGCGAGGGGCACGGCGGGCGTGCAAAACGGCGGAGGGGAACTTCCATGCACTCTCACGGAGAGGGGCGAGGTGGGGGCCGTGCAGATGGCGCTTTGGAAGCGGCAGGTGAGGCGGGTGGGACAGGTGGGGCAGATGAGGCAGAGGGTCGCAGGCAGGCAGAGGTGGAGGAGGCAGCACATGGAGCACAGAGCGTCACAGAGCGTGGTGCCCGCATGGGGACTGCTGCTGTTGCTGGTGCAGTGGCAGGGAGGGTAGCTGTGGGAAGGAGGTCGTTTGCTAGAGCAGGGAGTGCAGCAGCAGGTGCAGCAGGGGGGGAATCAGCAGAGACAGCAGGAGTGGCAGGTGCAGGTTTGGGAGGAGTGGCAACAGCATCTGGTTCGGGTAGAAGAGGGAGGTACAGCTCAGGTGCAGCAGGAGTGCCTGTGTCAGCAGCAGCAGCAGTGATTGCCCGGAGGCGGGGGCTAAGAGGAATAGGGGGGATGGGGCAGAGGCAGGGAGCTGCCGTGTGGGGCAGCAGGGGAAGGAGGTTGGTGAGTGGTGTGGCTGTGGGAGTGGGGCGAGGTGGGAGGGGTGTTAGAGGCAGAGGTAGAGTGGGGCACGGTGCTGCTTTGGGTGTGGAGAAAGAGGCAGAGGGAATGGGTGGCAGGGGAGCAGAAAGGGAAGGGCTGGCGGGGAGTGAAGGGGGTGATGAGAGGAGAGAGGGGCAGTGGGGAGTGAGTGCGGGAGGAGAGGGTGAGACGGGCAGAGCGAGGGTGGGACGGAAGAGGAGGCGAGGAGTGCTGATCGGCACCAAGGAAAGGACAGCAACAGCAGCAGCAACAGGAGCAGCAGGAGCAGCAACAGCAGCAGCAACAGGAATAACAGCAGCAGGTGCAGTTGGGGGGAAAAGCCTGCCACGGCGATTACAAGCAACTTCAGCAGCAGATTCTCTCAGTGACCCTGCCACAGCTGCCTACAGTCACCATGGCAGCACCTCCTTACAAGCACAGCCTCGCCCTCTCTCCACGCGCACGCTCCGCTGCTCCCCTTACCCCGCACCAACACAGCCAGGTTCGGACGACGAGTCCGCAGGCTCGGAAGACGTTGGGGATCTGAGCCTGGGCTCTCCAGGTGGCTCAGGGGAACTGCCTCGGGTTCTGTCCCTGGGGGGACTGGGGGGGCTAGAGGGGGTGGAGGGGATGGGGTTTGAGGGGTTTGATGGGGCGTTTGATCTGGAGGACATGGCTGAGCTGGATGATGCTGCTGGGCTGGGCTTCGACTCATAATGCTGCTGGGCTGGGGTTTGAATGATGCTGGTGGAATGATGATACATGTGAAAGTGGTGTGGATTTGGGGCTGTGCTTTGAGTGATTATGGGGGTTGAAAGCTTTGGTGGGATTTTACAGCAGATTGGAGTAAGAGTACATACAGTGTACTTCAGTGTAGCTGTTCTTGTCGATACTGGTTCTGCAGAGGTAAGAGAACCTGGTCCAGCAAAATGCTGAGCCTCCATTAGTACTGTAGGCAGGCCCTCAGATATCAGCATAAAACACGCTGATTACGCTGATTTTGTAGCTGTGATTTTCGTTTTCCCTGAAAATTCAGCATATGCTTCAATTTTGCACTGAAATTTCAGTATATCCCTACCTTGTCACACTGACCATTTTGCATGTTTCTTTACAAGAAACACTGACGAATCAGTATAGTGACGTGAGTCACACTGAAACGGAGCTGATTGCGTGTGGGGGGGTGGTGGGGGGGGTGATAGGGTACGCATGTACAATCTGTACCTTCCCGTGATTCCTGAGACCCCACCCACACACTAGGCATTTTTTCGCATGCACTGCACAGATACCGTCACCCCCCGGATATAAGCGCCACCCTAGGATAAGCGCCTGGCGCTTCTAATTGGCATATGGCGCTTATATCCCCTCCTCGATTATAAGCGCACCCCCTGAAAAAACTAGTTTTATTATAAGCGCACGTAAACTTTAAAATTTGAAATGTGTACAAAACGTTGTAATGATTTTTACTTTAGCAGGCAGATATGTTGCAGATTCGGTTCCCTTCACATTCGGACCCTGCACTGGATGCGGGTCCAGTCAGCAGGAGCTGTCAGGAGCTGGATGTGAGTCAGATTGGGTGTGTCTCCCAGCGCGCGCGAGAATTTCACAGACGACCCCATGTAAATTCGACTCGATTGAAAGGGCAAGCACGAGACCTACAGTTTGGTGTTAAAAAATATAAAAAATATGAATGTCATTTTATAAACGCCGGCGCTTATAAATTTACTCGATTATAAGCCCACCCCCTTGAAAAAACCTGTTTTATTATTGCCCCCCATGGGGGTATATCCGGGGGGTGACGGTATCAGGTGCGCGCCGAAGTGTGTAGCCTCGCTGGAACCTATCACAGCAACAACACCACACACCTTGTACTGGGGTTTCAGCTATAGTTTTTTGTTATTACACTGTTGGTTCAGTTTACTTATGATTTTTACACTGGCAAAATCAGTATAAAAAAAACCGTGAACGCTGATTTGGACACCTCGTTGGCCGGGGCACGCTGATCCATCAGCATACCCTCAAACCAATCTGAGGGCCTGACTGTAGGTATATCAGAACCATTTGAATGAAAGAGTAGAATAGTGCTCGGTTCATTCTTTTTTGTTCATCCGTTGGCCTTTCTGTGGCTCTAGTTGCAGTGCTTCATATATATCCATTTGCTGCCCAACTGTATATTACCATACATGTGTTCCAGGGCCTCAGATTCACTTTTAGGGTCGTCAGGCCATCAGGGTCCCCCTGCGTGGGAACTCTGATTGTCAGTGTCCCAAAAAAAAAAAAGCTGAAAGTTCAGTGTTGCAAATTTTCAAAGCCTGATGCATCAGTGTACCATTTGCAAAAACACTGACTGTATTTCAGACTCCTACATTTAAAATAAATAGTCACAAGAAGAGTTGCTGCAGTTATAATCTAAGAATCTCTAATAGGGGTCATGCATGCATCATCATCGGAATCAGAGCCATCATCATCATCACCCCCCTGAGCCTTTGGCTCTGCTTCCCACTCCTGTACTGCCTCTGCCTCCTTTCCCCTGCCACTACCCTGCCCCTCTCTTGCTGGAGCTGCTGCCACATTGCCAAAGGGCCGGCGCTTCTTGTAGCTGCGCCAGACCTGCACGATTTCGTTGTAGTCGGGCACGTACTCGAGGAGCGACATCGTGACGAGATCTTCAAGGCGGGCGTCTTTGAGGCTCCCACGCTGCCACGACTTGATGATGTTTTGGCGGGAAAACCCGCGCTCACATTCCACTGTGCTCAGCGGCAGTACGGCGACAGCGACCCAGAGACGCACAAGGTTGGGGTAGCTGGTCGTCCAGTCGCTTGTCTTCAGCATCGCAGTGAGGCCGGCATGGAAGCTTCTCTCGGTCTTCGGGGCACCTGCGAGGATGGGGCAAAAGGCTCGCAGCTCTTTGATCGCCCGGCGCTTGTCGATCCCTGCCAGACAAAGCAGATAAGTGATCGTTAGGATGACTGACCAACAGGGCAGAGGCAGACACCAACACAGAACTTTACGTTCAAAATGTTACGCTGAGTACAGCACTGGTGCACAATCAATAAACACGTACCAGGAAGGATGTAGTCTGTCTCCACTGCCCTGAACAGCCTGACGAGTGACATGAGCCACTCGAGACACTGCTTGTGGCGCTCTCCTCTCTCTGGTGGGTACTCATCGGGCATGAACAGCCGGACTCCCACAAGGGAGTCCAAATCTGCAAACCTCTTGGTGAGGTTGCGCACGAGCGCCTCTGCAAACGAGGTGCAGAGATCCACGCAGTTGTAGTGATTTCCCAGCGTTGGGTAGTCCTCGCTCGGGTTCTCGTGCAGTTTGAACGTGTGTTTAGTGGGCCGACCGTCTGAGTCCACTCCTTGCACCGTCACCTCGGGGTTGTCACTGTCCGGCCCGTACTTCATGATGAACGGGGACAGGCGCGCGCTCAACCCGCCCCCAAAATCATCGCCGCAGTCGACGTAGCGGGTCTCTAGGAAGGAGATGGTTCTCCTGATTTGCGCGTGCACACCTGCAATGTCAAGCTATGTTTGGGCGAAAGAAATAACATTGCGGGAAACACGGCAGTCGAGATTGGGGGTGCTTTCTCACACAAATAATGTTTTGTTTGACTGTCAACAATATAACTGCAATGACAAACACACACAGAAGCCACAAATACAATAACAAGACATCAAGACAAGTTAAGCACACACGGAAACGCCAAGTCGCTCACCTCTCGCTGCTGGAAAGACTTGTTCAGGATGTTCAGCTGCTCGAGCACGTCGGCCAGGAAGTACAAGAGGAAGTGAAACCTGTAGCTCGTGGCGAGCTCGTACAGCGTCTCGTCCCACTCATACAGCATGACGATGATCGCGGGGAAGACGGCCACCAGACGCAAAACAGCGTCACCCCTGGAGAGCCAGCGGACCGTGTGAATCCCCTGAAGCTCCAGGTTCGTGGACGTGAAGAGTTCTTGAAGCTCCATAAAGCGTTGATGCCAGGGGCCGGAACGGCCGAGATGCTCTGCGAGTTGACGGATCAGGCTGTCAACCATGTCGAACTCGGGAAGGGCCCGGGCTGCATGTTTTGCTGCGAGCGCCTCCCTGCAGGCACAAGAAAACCCAAGCGAGCAACACAGGATATTAGCATAGGATGATACAGTCACGTCAAGCAGTTTACGCATGGTGCAACAAAAAACGTATCTGTGGGCAACACAGTGGCTTGAGACGAGATGTGGAACGCGGAGGCGAAGCCGTACGACGAGGCCGTTCTTGCGTCCCATCATCACCTTCGCCCCATCGGTGCTTATACCAGCGATCCGGGCAAGGTCGATGCCGAGAGCCTGCAAGTGAGACAGAAACACTGAGAGGAGAGATGCAGCGTCGCACTTCTCCACAGTCAGCAGGGCCAGAAACTCAGTGACCGGTCGATTCTCACGGATGAAAGTAACAAAAAGGATCATGTGTTTTCCTCGACACCTGTCTGTGCTCTCGTCACAAGTGAGTCCGATGTACGGGCTTGCTTGGATGTGCTCGAGCTGCGTGGTGTGTAACCATGTCGCGATTGACTGTGTGAGCTGGCCAAAGCCGTACCTGTGGCGCATGTGAATCACGGTTAGAGCGTGCCCAAAAGTTAAACACACACAACACGAAGAACATGAAAACCCGGCGTTTACTCACGTGGTGTAGTAGGTGCCGTATCCTTTCGCGGGAAATCCCGGCACCTTCTGCTCCGCGAGGTAGCGAACGAGGTTCACCCATAGTTCTATGGGTGCATCCTGCTTGGTCACGAAGAGGAGGGAGTCACACAGCTTGATGACCCGCTCCTTCTCGGTGTCACGAGCGAGGTTGTCACCGTTGATACGCGGCTGCCGGCCAGCTTCAGCAAGAAGCTTCGCCTGGTTCTTGACCGCCTCCTTGTGCTTGGTTGTTTGCGCGTGCCGCTTGAACGCCTGAGTTTGTACGTCTGAGGCGCCCTTCCCGCCTTTCCCGCACTTTCCAGCATAACCTGCATGCTCGGTACAGATAGAGCATTTGAAAGCAGGGAGACCGTCAGATTGCCGCAGTAGAATTAGCCACTCAAACCTCTCCAGCCACTCAGCCTTGTACTTATACAGAGCCTCGGCGTAGAGCGCGTCGCGTCCAGACTGCTTCGAAGGACCTGGAACAGATGGCGACTCCTGCGTTTTTGTTATCACGGGCGACGACCGTTGGTCGGTTGGCGCAGGCACAGTAGCCCCGTCGACTGCGGCCTTAGGAATGAATGGCAGCGTTGACTGCGTGTATCGGCCGGTTTTCTTGGCCTCTGGTTCAGGAGTGGTATTGTCAGCTGGAGGCGGTGAACTGTCTTGCTCGATGTCTGGCGCTGACGGGGACGCACAGAGCGGCTCCAGATCTATGTGCTCGAACGGTATCTTGTCTGGCGGCTCTAGTTCAGGTTGCCTCTCATTGACGTTGACCTGCGCTAAGCCTGAAAACAACAGGTCGATGCCGGTCACAGCTTCTGTACGGTCTACATGCGGCTGGCGATGCGCAGCACCGGCGTGGTCGCCGTTTCTTTCCGTGCCATCAAGCTGCTCCGCCATGGTAAGCAGCGCGTACGGCCTCGCATCTAACCTAGAGACAACTACGAAGGCAAGGGATTGCAAGCGCAAAACTCAGGCCTCGGCTGGCTGCCTCCTGGTACACTAGGGTGAACGAGGGAAACCCTGGTTCTGATGCAAAGGTTGGACA